GCCTGAACAAGAATTGATGTTTATGATGGTACATTGTCCATGGAATTTGATGGAGAGGTGATAAATTTCAACATCTATGATGCTATGAGATATCCAAGAATTTTGTGGATGTCATTGAACCATTAACCGAAGAGTCTTTTGATTTGTCTAATCTCAATGTGTTAGCTCTCAATTTAGACAGGAATCTTCACAAAGATGGAGTGGAAAAACTTTCCAAGCGATTCAAAATTGATGAAGGGATTATGGAAGTTGTATCTTGCATGGATCAAAAAAAGAAAATGAGGTTTGATGTTCCAAAACTGAAATTATCAATTCCTAATGAGAAACTTGTTCCTTCTATTGTACAGGTACCGGAATTGGAACTCAAGACTTTACCCAAGCATCTCAAGTATGCGTATCTTGGAGAGAACGAGACTTTGCCAATGATCATTTCCACAAAGTTGACAACAAAGGAAGAAGAAGAGCTTATTACCACTTTGAAGGAGTATAAGGAAGTTATTGGGTGGACTATAGCCGACATCAAAGGTCTAAGTCATTCACTTTGCATGCACAAGATCCTTATGGAAGAAGACTACAAGCCTTCACGAGAAGCTCTGAGGCGTTTGAATCCTCCAATGATGGAGGTTGTGAAGAAAGAGATTTTGAAGTTGTTGAATGCGGGGATGATCTATCCTATATTTGAAAGCAAGTGGGTAAGCCCGGTCTAAGTTGTACCAAAGAAGATAGGTATTACCGTTACAAAGAATGACCAAGGTGAATTAGTCCCCACTCGTGTGCAAAACGGGTGGAGAGTTTGCATAGACTACAGAAGACTCAATTCCTCAACCCGGAAAGACCATTTCCCACTTCCCTTCATTGATCAAATGTTGGAAAGGTTAGCGGGAAAAACACACTATTGTTTCTTTGATGGGTATTCCGGTATCCACCAAATACCCGTTGCACCTGAGGATCAAGAAAAAACCACTTTCACATGTCCCTTCGGAACATTTTCATATAGGTGGATGCATTTTGGACTATGCAATGCTCCCGCCACTTTTCAAAGGCATGGTAAGTATTTTTTCGGAGTACGTTGAGGAAATCATTGAAGTGTTTATGGACGATTTCATTGTTTATGGTAATTCTTTTCACGAATGTTTGGGTAATTTGAAAAAGATTTTGCAAAGATGTATTGAGACCAACCTTGTTTCGAATTATAAAAAGTGTCATTTTATGGTTGACAAAGGTCTCATACTTGGTCATGTTGTGTCTTCTAAGGGTATAGAGGTAGACAAAACAAAAATAGATGTCATTAAATCTTTACCTTACCCCACTTGTGTTCGCGAGGTACACTCGTTTCTTGGTCATGCAGGTTTTTATAGAAGATTCATCAAAGATTTTTCCAAGATATCTCGTCCCATGTGTGAGCTCCTACAAACAGATGCAGAATTCAAATTTTCCAAGGAGTGCAAGCAAGTTTTTTATCAGTTGAAGGAGTTGTTAATCTCAACACCAATAATTCAATCACCAGATTGGAGTTTGCCCTTTGAAATCATGTGTGATGCTAGCAATCACGCGGTTGGTGCGGTGTTGGGGCAAAGAAAAGACCGAGTTCCTCATGTCATTTATTATGCCTCAAAAACACTTGATAGTGCACAATCCAATTACTCAACCACTGAGAAAGAATTGCTATCTATTGTCTTTGCTTTAGAGAAATTCCTTCAATATTTGTTAGGTTCTAAAGTGATTGTTTATTCTGATCATGCAGCTATTAGGTACCTACTTGCAAAGAAGGATTCGAAGCCTAGACTCATTCGATGGGTTTTACTCTTACAAGAGTTCGATATTGAAATCAAGGACAAGAGCGGAAAGTCAAACCTTGTGGCCGATCATCTTAGTAGGATTGTCTCTCCCGATGACTCAACTCCCATTCATGATGTATTTCCCGATGAGAATCTATTTTCAACAAAAGTTGCCCCATGGTATGCCGATATTGTGAACTACATCGTCACAAATCAATTTCCACCAGACTTGACTCGATGGCAAAAAGATAAAATCAAGAAAGAAGTCAAGAGGTATGTATGGGATGAGCCATATTTGTGGAAATATCGTGCTGATCAAATGATTAGATGATGTGTGGAACAACATGAGGTATCTTCTATCTTAAAATTTTTTCACTCTTATGCTGGTGGAGGGCATTTTTGGTCCTCAAAGAACTGCAAGAAAAGTATTAGAGAGTGGATTTTACTGGCCAAGTATTTTCCATGACTCTTATGTTTTTTGTGCAAGCTGTGATAAGTATCAAAAGATGGGTTCTTTAAGCTCAAAGAATCAAATGCCCCTTAATCCTATTTTAGTTTGTGAAATTTTCGATGTTTGGGACATTGATTTCATGGGACCTTTCCCATCATCTTCGGGTTTTACTTACATTCTTTTGGCTGTGGATTATGTCTCTAAGTGGGTGGAAGCAAAAGCCACCCGTACTAACGATTCAAAAGTTGTGATAGATTTCTTGAAAGATAACATCTTTTCCAGATTTGGTGTTCCAAAGGCCTTAATCAGTGACCGTGGTTCACATTTTTGCAATCGTATGCTTGGAAGAGTCTTGAAGAAGTATGGTGTTACTCATAAAGTCTCCACAACATACCATCCACAAACAAACGGACAAGCCGAAGTGAGCAATCGACAAATCAAGGGTATTTTGGAGAAAACTGTCCATACAACAAGGAAAGATTGGAGTACTCGTCTTGATGATGCTTTGTGGGCATACCGCATTGCATTCAAAACTCCAATTGGAATGTCTCCATAACACATTGTTTTTGGAAAGCCATGTCGATTACCCGTTGAGTTGGAACATAGAGCCTATTGGGCAGTCATACAATTCAATATGGATTTAAATGAATCGGGAAAGAAGAGAAAGCTTGAATACAAGAGCTTGAGGAGATCCGCAATGAAGCATATAAGAATGAAGTTCTTTACAAAGAAAAGACAAAAGCATACCATGACAAGATGATTTCTCGCAAGGTATTTGAAAAAGGTCAAAAGGTATTACTTTACCACTCTCGTTTCAAATTAATTCCTGGTAAATTAAGGTCCCGTTGGGTGGAACCATTTGTTGTCACTAATGTTTTTGAGCATGGTGCAATAGAAATCACAAGTGAGAAAATCGGGAAGATCTTTAAGGTGAACGGTCATCGTTTAAAACCTTATTATGAAGGATTTGAAGTAAAAAACAAGGAAGTGGAGGAAGTAGTGGATCCAAAGTACCAAGATTGACAAATAATTGGGGTCCATGTCGAGCCACCGACTTTAAACAATGGCAGCTACCCGAGAGGCAACTCGGGGGTATTTTGGTCATTTTTGTAAAATTTTCGTATGGGCATTTTCTTTTTTAGTTTTTTTGTTCCAAGGTTCTTAGAATAATTAGGGGACTCTAAAAATAATTTTATGAAGATTGGAAATGAGCGGATGCGAAAATAAGAAAAATCACCGTGCATTTCTTAGAACATTACACGGGTCGTGTAATGCATGCCTTTGCAAAACACGACCGTGTAATGAGAAATTATATCAGGAATGTTGGTGTTACACGGCCGTGTAACAATACCCTTGCCCTTACATGGGCCGTGTAACGAGGCCTGTACATAAAAAAACGGGGTTTTTTTTAAACAACAAAAGTCGCAGCTCATTCTTCATTCCAGTCGACTTCTTTTCTCTCGTTCCCCTTCACCGACAACATACACAAGCACCTGATTCTTCGATTACACCATGGATTTAAGCAAATAAGATATGGAACTTCAAACCCTTTCTTCTTCCTTACACTCAAGCAACTTCAAAACACCATTTTAATGGTGATTTTCGGATTTTTTCGAAGAACCCTAGAAAATGGGGTCCGAAAATTTTGTTCTAATTTCTTCAAATTGCTTGTAGGATAAGTTTGGGGAAGCATTGTGGAAGAGATTACAAGTGATATCAAAACACCAATTTAGTGTTTCAAGCTCCAAATCGGGTATTCTCTTTCCAATTCCTTAACTTTGCATTGTTAGTCATAAAAGCTTCAGTCTTTGTGCTTAAACTGTCAAATTGAGTGTTAATTGTGTGTTAGTCCTTTGAAGTGGTTGTACATTGTGCTTAAGAGTCAAATTTTTGTGCTTAAATATCGTTTCTCTTATGGCTTCATCATCTCGTGGGGTGGTAAAAAGGGTAATTCCAAGCGTTCTAGAGTCTTTGACATTAATGTTAGTAAACGTGACCCAAACCCTCCACGCCAAAATTCGGATGAATTGGAATTCTTAGACTCTCAACAAGAAACTAGGTATCATAATTTTCTTAGTCGTAGGCGCGCAACACAGAAATTCGCGGACATGCCCACTCTCGAGTCCCTCCATATATATGATCAAGTCTGTGTTTTGTTTAGAAATATTGGGTGGTAAGGGTTGTTGTCATTGCATGATGTTGGTTATGTCCAACCTACTATTGAATTTATGTCATCTGTTTCCTTCAATCATCGAGCTGAGTATCTCTCCTTCCGTGCTTTTAGCCGTGATTATCAGTTGCATAAAAATAAATTATGTAAACTCATTTGTGCTCTAATTGCTAACACTTACAGCCCATTTCACATATTTAATTTTCCATTTCAAGAGGATGCTAAAGCTTTTTGGGGGAGAATTTCAAGATTGAACTATTTTCCAAGCGCTGCCAAAGCATCAAGTATCATTCATCCTGTTCTTAAGGTCACCCATCGCATCCTTGCTTCTGTTGTATTTCCACAAAATGAGATAAGCAAGGCAGGCCAAAAAGAATTAGAGCTTATGTGGTGTATGATCCACAGTTCAAGTCAACTTCCCGATTTTGGATTATGGATCATCTTCAAATTGTTGAAAATATCCCGTAACACTAGTGGTAAATTACTTTGTGGGGGTATGATCACACTTATCCTCAAACACCCAGCTCTTTCCATTCGTTTTCCACCCGGTCTCGATGTCATTGAGGGATAAACTTGCCTCACAACAAACATCTTGCAAAATATGCATTTGTTCCATCTAAATTATGAGATTTACATGTCGTTTATTTGGGCTGTTGATAGTCGTGATTACCTCAGTATTGATCATCAGAATGCCCAACGTCTTAGATTGTCCAATCCCGTGCACAACATTGTTTGGCGCCTTAGTTCCAATTTAGGTGTCCTGATGCCCGAACCTGATTCTGATTCTGATGAGCCCATTCCTGATGCTTCTGCGCCAGTGCAGTAAGAGCCTGTCACACATCCTCATCATGACATGTATATGCAAGAATTTCGTAGGTTGCATGAAGACAATAGGCATTTGCATCGTGACTATTATGAACTTTATGACAGTGTTTGTGAGATAAATACTAAGATGGTGGAGTTTCGAGAAGAGTTCTATTCCTTTAGAGACAATCAACAAGCATGCAACCAACATGTGGATTCCATTGTGACCGACATGCATAGGGTACTCTATTTAGGTGGACAACCCACACGACCACCTTATTACCCTCAATATCCACACTACCCTCCACCGTACAAAACACAATTTCCACATCAATATCCTCCCCCATTTCCACCTCAAGATCCTCCTCAATAATTTGTCCCGCTCTCTTCCCAAGCATCAAGGACGATGCATATTTTTAAGCTTGGGAACTGTGTATTATATTGCATTGCATTATAAAAAAAAAGTTGCATATTCAATCATTATATTGCATTGCATTAAAAAAATTTAAAACTTAAAAATTAAAAAAAAATACAAAACATAAAAATACAAAAAGATTTTTTCCTTTTTATTTAGGTTTTGAGGGTCTTTTCATGCATTTTTCTCTCCTCTTTATTCTCATCTTTAGAATGTCTTTAACTTTTTGTCACAATACACGGTCAAGTTCAAAGTTTTGTCTGCTTATACCCCGTATACATGTGGTGTCACTAATTTGTGAAACTTTAGAACTATTGAGAACACACTTATTTGCTAATTCACTTAGTGGCGGTGCATTGAGGTATATTATGACAAGCAACTCCTCTTAAATAATTCGGGTCACAGCAGGTGATAATCAAATATAGGGCATTTTTAAAATATCCATGAGTACGTTATTGTGTGAATCGGTAAGGCATAAGGCGACGCAAAAGTTCATTTGGTATTCTAGTTTCATTTTTAGTTTTATTTTGTTAATCGTTTGTATATATGCTTGTTTTTATTTTGTTTTGTAGTATTTAGTTTAGATTAATTGACTTTTTGTTGAATTATATGCGATCTTCGCTTGGTTCAAAAAGATTGGTTCTATATATATATATATATATATATATATATATATATATATATATATATATATATATATATCTATATATATTATATATAGGATTTTGCAGCTTTTTCAACATTTGTCTTTTTGCATTTTAAGGTCAAATCAATTTTTCCAAAGATAGTTGTTAAAGTTGTTTATTATTTTCATTTTAGTTTTATAGTTGTAAATATTAGAAGTTATTGTTATTTTAAACCAAGTTGTTTCCCAAAGTTAAAACCGCGAAGTCATCAAAATGACGGATTTCAAAGTCAATTTATCAAGTTTTGTGTTCAAGTTATATATATTATATATATATATATATATATATATATATATATATATATATATATAAGGGTTTTAGTTTATGTTTGTTTTTCATTTCTTTTGTAATAATTAAGTTGAGTATTTGTATATATTCATGCTACTTTCTAGTAAAAAAAGAACCGAACCAAGCCTTTCCAGATTTATCATGATGATATTTTCACAGGAAATTCGTTGTGTTTGATTTTGTTGGCTTGTTTAGCATTGGAAGTTTATTTTGAGGCTAACAATCATGTTATACGGTTCTATTTTGCTTGTTTTGTATATTTGTTGTTGTATATATATTTCTTTTGCGCTCTTGATATGGTCATGGATTTATCTCCTATTATGGATTGCCGAGAGTTGACACGGGTTTTGGAAGAAGATATGAAGATTGTGCAACCGCAAGCTGTTGAAGAGCATGGAGAGAAGACTAAGAAGAATGGGATATGCCTTACCGACGCCTGAGTGCCCTCCACCTTAAATAATGAGTGTAGATTCTTTGATAGGAGTGAGTTCACACATCTTGTGAAATGAGTGCATACACGAGTTGAGTGCTTCAGTGGGCACGTCCCATAGATTGAGATGCACCTGCCTTGTCAATAAAAGTTACTAAGAGATGCCTTATACTATGGTTCTATGCATTTAAGCCGAGTGATTAGCAAATCTTTGTGTTCCATACCTTCTACTGTCCTGATTTGGAATGAGTACATTTGTATGTGTTCGGGGTATAGGTTGACAACTCTTTAATCATGATTATGTTGTCAGGATAAATAACTTGAGGCATTCTTTCTTTTTTTATTTCTATGTTTGCATTTACATTGGCATTTGCATTCATCTTTTCCAAGGTTGACTCTTGTTTGGTTTTCTTGAGGACAATAAAAGGCTCAAGCTTGGGAGATTTGTTAGGTGCATAAATTGCACATTTTCATAGGTTAATTTCATGTTTATTTATAGCATTGCATTGCATTTTTAGTGTAACTTCCATACATTCTTGCATTTAGAGACATTATCGAGGATCTATCGATATTTCACCATTTTCTGTGGATGTTTAAGGGTGATTTGAAGATTGGAGCATGCTTAGGATGGTCAAGGGAAGCTCTCGGTGAAATTTCGGAATTTTCGGAGCTAAATTGAAGAAATGAAGAAAATCAGAAAATGACTATTTTGTACTGCATTACACGGCCCACGCTTTGGCAAGGCATGCATTACATGGCCGCGTTTTGCATGTTTTTCAGCACAGGAGGGCCATTACACGGCCGTGTAACAGCAAGGCATACGTTACACGGGCCGTGTACCGTGATCTGATGGAATTTGAAATTGTAACTTCTGATTTATCTTTGGTGACTGGCATATTAACACATAACTTCGACTTGGGACTTCAATAAGGCGATTTTGGGAGATCATATCATCATCTAGCATCTTGGAAACACTTTAATTTGCATTTTGTAAGTTAATTTGAAGATCAAAACTTGTTGAATTAGTAATTTGATTTAGACATGTATGGTTGATTCTCTATCATTTCCAATTCCAGATTTCTAAGTGTTTGTTGTTAGATTGTAATTTTCACTTGATTTTATGTTTATCATCTAGTAATCTTTGATTTGGTCTTAAATATATGTTTGATTGGTTCTCTTTTCACTTGATCAATGAATTAGGGTTCTTATCAATCTAGTTAATCAAATTGTAAAATTCGTATATGTTTTATGATTTGATGTTAGTAACATGCACTTGATTGGTTGGAAATAGATCAAAATTAGTGTAATCAAAGATTAGATGTTCATAGTCCCGAACTTATGAGGAATGTTGGATATTGTTGGTAAGTGTTGTAAGAACTTAATGTCATTTAATGATTTGATGCAAGAGCTTATTTGAATTGAATCAATTAAATTAAGTTTTATTTGAAGAACATATTTTGAATGAAACGCCTTTGCTAACTTGGATTATAGAGCTTATTAATATTCAAATTACCAACCTAGTTTGAACATAAATTACAGTCATATTACACCTTACAACACAACACATGTATAGGAATCAGAATCAGAATCAGAAATGTATTTCTCTTATTGAATTTTAGTATTAATCTTGTTTGTTTATGAGGTTTAATTTGAATTCAAACATAACCCCCCCCCCCCCATTTTAACATTGATTGTATGATGTGTGAGAATATGGCTAAATAAGAAGTCTCGTATTCCTGTGGACCGACCCTGCTTACTCTATACTATCTTTAGTGTAAGTAGTAGCAGTGATTTCCATTCTATTGTTATTATTTTATCCCGTTATTTGTTGGTTTGACCACCAAACAAATTGGCGCCGTTTCCGGGGATACGGTAGTACTGATTGTTTATGCCAAGATCTTTTCGCACAGGTACACCTTTACCAGTTGATTTGGAGATAGAAAAATCTGCAAAACAAAGAAGGAAGCAAGCCAGACTTTTAAAGAAACAACAACAATGCGGAGCTTCTTCATCAAATCCATCAACCACATACTCACCTCTATCCGAGTCTGAAACTTTTATTCCTACGCCTACCATGGGAGACAACCATGGAGGAAACCAAGATCCCCCAAATCCACCACCTGAACAAACCTTTAGACAGTGGGCCACTCAAGATGTTACCCAACAACCATTATGCATTAATTATCCTGCAGCTATAAACTTTGGATTCAAATCCGGACTCATTCATTTGTTACTTTCATTCTATGGTCTTGAGAATGAAGATCCACACAAATTCCTTAAGGAATTTCATGTTGTTTGTGTGGGGATGAAACCACATGAAGTCACTGAAGATCAAATCAAGTTAAGGGCATTCCCCTTGTCTTTACAAGATTTAACAAAAGAGTGGTTATATGACTTACCATCGGGGTCAGTCACAACATGGAATGAACTTGCAAGGATGTTTTTGGACAAATATTTTCCAGAAATAAGAGCTTCAGCCTTATGCAGGGAAATCATTGGTATCAAGTAACAAAAGAGAGAAGCCTTGCATACTTATTGGGAACGGTTCAAGATGTCAAAAACATGGGATTTCAGAGTATCAATTGTTGCAATATTTTTGTGAAGGAATGTCATCTTGGGATAGAAGATTGCTCAGTGCATCAAGTGGTGGATCAATAGCTGAGAAAAATCCAATCGAAAATTAGAGCTCTTATCAAGAACATGGCAGAAGAGTCCAACCATCCAACTCAAGAAGAAGAATGGTACAGTGATACACCAAGAGGAGTGAAAGAAATTTCTACCCCAAAAATTGAGAGTCAACTTTCTGAGTTGACTAAAGTAGTGATGATGCTTGCTAAGGACAAGGGTGTGCAACCACGAGCAATTAGACCTTGTGTTATTTGTACCCAAGTTGGACATCCCACTGATATGTGCCCGGTGTTACAAGAAGATATAGTCGGTTCAAGCTATGGGATTTTCTAATCAACAACAAGGAAACTTTCAGCCAAGAAGCAATCCAAATTGGCACCAACCCAATGCCAATTTTCAGCCAAGGCCACCACCTTATCAACCTAGAACTCCATTTCAAAATCAAATGCATCATCAACAAAATTATCAATCACATTTCCAGCCCAATCAACCTCCTCATCAATCTCAATTCCAACCTCAAAACATACAACAAGGAAGTAGGGTCCAAGACCCAAATATTAGGTTTTGTATCATACTTTCGTACACCCAGTGTACTCCTGGTACGCCCAGCGTACCAGGTTGAACCTCCGCGATCAACCACGCCTAGTATGCCTAACGTACTCGCCTTAACCCAAAACCTTCCTAACTTCTAACGCTTATAACTTCCTCGTTCCAACTTCGTTTTCGACGATCTTTATATCTACGGAAAGGTATTAAAGAGCCCCACAATATTATATAGATATATTGGACTAAAAACTTCTCAAACAAGAATCCATATTTAATGCAAGAACTCGGCCTATGACTTTCCCATTTCTATCCTACGGCCCAATACACAGTTCAAGGGTTAAATCCCTTAACCATCATTACCTCCTTTCACAAGTACTAAACTTTACATCCTTAAGGCCCAAAGCCTTTACAAAATCCACTTTCGGTGTAACATCCCGATGATAAGGTACTTCTAATTTTAACCCTATAATGTAATTATATTTCATTATTGGTCCTTAAGTGTAAGAAAGTGCGAAAATGGCCCATTGTGGCAATTTGGTAAATTGGGAGTTATGAGTATGCCATGCGTACGTGTGTGTACGCGAAGCATACTAAGGCGCGCCTTAGTACGCTGAGCGTACACTTCGTACGTTGGGCGTACGTGGGTGGCATGCAAACCCTAATTTTAGGGCTTTGGATCATATTTAAGCAACTTTATGGACACAAACCCTCTTCTTACCCAACCTCATTCTGTGTTTTCGACCTTCAAGCAACCCTAGAGCAAGTGAGAGCAATTTTGAGCCTTAAAGTGAGTTTTGGAGTGGTTTTGAAGAAATAAGAAGGTGGTGCAAAAAAGATCTTGGAGTGGAGAGCACTTTGGATCTGGGATTTCTTTTTGGTTTGCATCATCTTGCAGGTATAAAACTTGCATCTTTCCCACTCCATCTTGTAGATCTAGGTTTTCGCTCTCTTAAGTCACTTTTTGGTCCAAAAATGATGATTCTTGAACATGGCATGTTCTTGACCCATTGAGCTATCCTTTCAGACCCTTGGAAGGGTCTTAAGTCATAAAAATGGATTCCAAGTGGTTGATTTTGCTCCATGCATCATTTAGAAGGTCTTAATGGATTAAGAAGTGGAGTTAAGCTCTTAATGGACATGCGAAGTCATAAACTTGGAAACTTTTTGACTTTTGAGGGTATTTTAGCCATGGATCTGAAAAATGGTCGTGAGTGCTTAAGCTATTAAGCACTTATTGAGTTTTGAGGCTTCTGGGAGTACGCCCCGCGTACTTGGAGTACGCCCTACGTACGAGGTCAACCACCCCGATGGTGGTCAATTGCAAATACGCGGTACGCCCAACGTACCTTCAGAGTATGCCCCGCGTACTCACTCTGAGTCGATTCGGCTGAGTTGACTCGGTTGGGGCTACTTGATCGGGTTGAATTAGTTGACTTAGTTGGTTTTTGACCAAGTTTGACCTTAAGGGTATTTTGGGTAATTTGGGATTTTGATGGAGATTGGTCATTTGGTTTGAATAGGTGTCGGTTAGAGAGCTGAGATTCGGAGTTGGAACCTCATCAACTTTTGTCCAATTTGTGAGGTGAGTTTCCTCACTGTACTTGCGGGCTGAAGCCACCAAGGGCGACCCTTTGGATTTGATATATCCTATCATGTGATGGTATGTTATCGTGTTGTAGTGATATGTTAGATCGGTATCCTGATATATAGGATGATGCTATGCTTAGTGATATGTAGATATGTTTGACGGTCTGTAGACTGTTATATGATTATCTATTATATGTGCACATATTTGGCTGGTTGTTGAGGCTTTACTGCTTTGTGTGTAAGCCAACA